TACACAGGGAAGGGCATTCTGAAAAGCATCACTTCCAGCCTAAATTTACCATAGAACAGTCCAGCACATCCCTCAGATTGATTCCCTTTGTTCTGCTTCTACATTCATGAAAAGAAATATTATGATTACTGATTTGTCTTCTCAAATACCTCAGAAGTAGGAAGGGAAGGGCCCTGGATAGTGAATGCAAACGCTCCAGTCCCTGGAAAAACAGAGCATCCCCTGAAAATTAACACTTTAAAATATGTGCCTGTAACTGTAAAAGTGAACCTCAAACTACAATGAAATCACCAAATTTACTATCCAGGAAGGCTCTGAGGAGCAAAAGAGAAAAGGAATTCCTTTGAATTTACTCTTCTCTCCATGTTCTTGCTCACTCTATGGGACAAGCACTGAAGAACAGGAAAAGAAAACAAGAATGATCAGAAAGGAGGGGTGGCTAATATACATTCCTGAACAATTGCAACAGGTCATTTTATTTACCTAAACAAGCACCTATACTGCATTTAATTATATGCCAAGCACAGGTCCAAGTGCTTACAAAGAATTAACTATCCAATCTTCATACCATTTCAATTAAGATTGGTTCTATTACTAACCTTCCCCCCTCCCTTTTTTTTTTAACCTGTTTATTAACCTTCTTTTTAACAGATTAAGAGGCATAAAGAAGTTATGGAGTTGCCCAAGGTCACACAGCTAGGATTCACATCATGGCTAACATAGCTTTATATATAAAAGATTCCAAAATTATTAAGTTCATTTTCATTATCATTTGTAAAAACTACTCACAACATGTAGTATTAGCTGTCATTTAAAGAGTGACTTCACATCTATAGTCTCATTCAATGCTCACTACTGCCCTGTGAGGTAGGTATTATGATTCTGCTTTGCAGATGGAAAAAGAGAAGTGATTTGTGCAAGAGCACACAGCTAGTTGACAGAAAATCTAGGACTCAAAACCGACTCCAAAGATGGTGCTTAACCCAGATGCTAAGAGAAGGCTAAGATCCACTATTGAGAAAAGTGAATGCAGAGTCCAAACCATGCAAGTCAGTCTGGCTCAGGGCAATGAGAAACTAAATCAGACTGTCAAGCCAGAATTCTCAAGAAGTGTGTGAAGTGATGGGGGTTGGAGAATCACCTGGGGCATTGTGCTGAGCCCATTCTTTCTGGAGATAAGCGATCACTTCTGGGGCCTTGGACAGGAACCCCTACATACTTGTCATCTTTCTCATGGCCCCATTATTAGTCTATGCTTTGTTTCTGTCTTCTACTGGGTTTTCTTTTCCCTGGATCTTTGAGGGGCAGGAGACAGAGGAGCAAGACTTTGCCTTTCCCTTTCTTTTTATAAACAGATAAAACCTTTTGCAGAGTTTTTCCCCCTTAGTAACTACATAGTATATAAAAAAGTTATAAGAACTCTTTAAATACCGGTCTTTAAAGGAGTGTAAGTATAACTCAACTTCATCATTCCTTTGTCTTTTGCTGGTTTACCTTTGAGTCTTTCAAAGACTCAGAATCCCCCAACTACTACCCCTCCAGAAGAGAGCCCTGTGCCTCATTTTATATATTTTTCTCTGCAAATTTCAGAATGAACATTTTTTTCACCAAGTATTTCCTTTTTTTCTTTTAATTTTGTGTTTCTTTGGAGAGTTTCCATTTTAAAAAATTAAGTATGGTCTAGGACAATAAAGGAATGTTTACCTTTGAATCTGTTCTATATATTTTATGTAATAATTTCCATCCATTGATCTTTTACCTCTAAAATAATATTCTTCCTATTTTTCTGCTCCTTTAGGTGTAAGCTCCTTATACTTCCCCTTCTCCCCCCATCTCCATCTGTCAGTTTTGATTTCTGGCCAACTCTGAGACCTACAGTAACTGCCAGTTTACCTGGTACGATCATACCCTCAGTACAGACACACTGTGGAAGTTTCTGACTTGCATATTCTGGCTCAAATGGCTAGGGATGTGTTTTCTGGTAACAAATAATTCATTTTGCATTAAAAAATGTGGAGTTATATGTGTGTGTAAATCATTCACATAGGTTATTCATTAGAAATGCACCCATTCTGATTAGCATCTATCTATAATTTACCTAATTTGTTTTTCCAGCCATTCATTTGGGTTCATTTATTACCTACTATTGTCTAGGCACTGTGTTAGACATTAGAGTTATAAAATAAATAACACTGTCCTTTAAGCACAAAATTTCTGATTCTATTCCTGAAACCTTTCTTAGTGACTTGTCTGACTTTAGGATGTCACTGGTAGATCTCAGTTGCCCCACTGTAAACTGAGTGGCTTGTATTAAGTGCTCTTATAATTCAAAAGTCTCTAATATCAAAGGACTCAGGAAATTTTAATATATTCATTAAGTTGCTCAGTACCTCTGAGCATAGCGTTTAGTCTCTATAGCTTACCTTCTCCTCTATAAAATAAATGGGAGGTACTAGAGCAGGATTGAAAATGTGTTCCAAGGAACTTTGTGAACAGGCTTTGCGAGGAAAAAAGGGTTCTGTGCTCAAAAAGGTCTAGGAAGCACTTGAGTCAATATGTTTGTTTGTTTGTTTGTTTGCTTGTTTGTTTTTACCTTAGGACTTCTCAGAAATTTTATTATACCAAGTTTGTTTCATGCCTCTCCAAGCAGGAGACAGCAGATATATCTCCCAAACTTACTTGACAATGAAATACTTTTCCTCAAGCATCTTTGTAGTACTCATAAATTGTCCTTCAGAAAAAATTTGGGAAATGTCCTACCAAACACACTGTATACCTCCTAAGGCCCTTTATTACAGCAGCATTCTCTACCCTGGATTGATTTTATGTCATAAATATCCACTAGTTTATGTTCTTATGTGCTATGTGCATACTGCTACATTTCCTTTTTCTCTTCAAGTTGTGCTTTTGACTCTTGGTTCATAGGCTATAAACACTCCGCGTGTGAATACATGGACTGCAAAATCATGCACCTTATTAGCACTCTGGTCAATAGTGTCAGAACAAGTGCACAGTATGTTTTGTGGTAAAACATTCCAAAGAGTATCACAGAGGAGGCTACTTGGGGGCAAAGGGTGAGACAAATGAACATGAGAAATAATAGTATTAGTTGGGCAGATTTCCATAAAAGTTCAAAAAATGTATTTGACATTTTGATGATGAAAGAACACAGTCTTTCCTGTCATAGGACTACTGTTCCTGACCAAGACTATTAGGATGCAGAGTAACAGAGCTGAGTGGCTTCATTCAAAAGTCTGTGTTCAACATCTGTCACGCTGGAGATCATTAATGTTGAATTGCAACCTATTGTCTTCATGTTACTCAACTCCATTTTACTGTCATTGCTTCAGCTGGGGGTTAATCAACTATTTATGGGAAGACTGGACCTGGGAGTCAGGGCAGTCACAATGGGGTTTCAGTCTGAGGCAAAGGTGGGGGAAGAAAGTTATAGTAAAAAGACTCCTAATTTGTGAGAGTTTGTTGAAAATTTTATCAAACAAAGATATCTGAGAATAATGCTGATGTAATCCACATTTTAAAAGGAGAAAGAACATACTTGGTATTCCTGAAGAATCCAGAATTGATCTCAGCTTGTATCTATTTGGAGCTGAATTCTTTGCCACTTTACTCTTCCTTTAGAGCTAGAAAAAAGCTGTGATGGGAAAATCAAGTTAATGGGTTCTCTGTATAAATCAAATCATTAACAATAGTGGAAATCATACTTCATTATTGTTCCTGAGGTCAGCTGATACAACTGACACATCTAAGTAGTATGAAATATTTATAGCGTTATGAGGTAGGGGGAAAAAAATCTTCCATTAGGAATTGTTTTTTTAACATCTTACAAATTACTTAGATGTTTCCATTTTGCACATATATATGTGCATTATGATTAGATTTACTAGACTTAAATATCAAACTAAATAATTATATTCTCAATATATGTCCCCAAATATTTATAAACCTCTTTCAGGGGAAATGAAGAATAAATTCTGAGTTGATTTGCCTAAGTATCCAAACTCATGCAATCCGATTATATAATGAGAATATTTTTTATATACTACTAATATCTTTTGATATGTTATAATAAATTATTCTGCCAAAAATAATATTTTTGTGCACATAAACAGGACAATTTGCATATTAAAATTCCAGGTCTGCAATATTCCAGGCAATATTTGGGCCTGTTAATTTGTCACAACTTACTTAACAGCTAAAATTAAAACGTCAATATATTAGATCAGCATTAACCAAATTGTCATACATCTTGACAATGCTAAATTTTCCTATACTAAACTTATAATATCTCTCATAATTCCAAGACCAACATGTTCACACAAATGATTTCTAATAACTTTAAAACCTCGGTTAAGTTTTTGATATGTAAGTTGCCCGTTAATATGGGAAAAGATGGACCAAACTCTTCCCCCACCCCCACCCTGTTATTCTTTTTGGGGCAGCTAGGCCACTCCAGATGGCGTGTTACTGTTGGACATAGCTTTAGAGAAACTTCAACAGACGAAGGCTGTAATGTCAGGATTTTGCTGTGCGTCGTCCCCCTTCCCCCCCTGCAGTTCCCAGGGTAGGAAGGTGCTGAGATGGAAGCCGAGGGACGCCCGCCCACCTGCCACCACCTGTTCCCTCCCTCAGCCCGCGGCTATAAATTCTCCTCCTTCAAAGATTCACCCAGCACTCTGCGACAGCCACCGAGGAAAAAGCGCTTCTTCCCTATCTGAGCATCTGGAAAGATTTCGTCATCCTGAAAAAGAAGTCTTTCCCAGAGGACTTGAAAGGCCTTCCCTAAACCAGGCACACCAAATTCCGCAGCAAGAAGTTTCCCTTCTCTTTTCCAACTTCACGTTGGGAAAATGACTTTCTCTTCAGCATCTCAGTTTCCCCTAAATTTAGGCAAGTAAAGAGACATCAATCTGATTATCCAGTAGGACAGAAGGCGGGGCTCCGTACTCCCCACTGTAAACTCTAACTCCAAGAGAGTTGCTTTGTGTATGACTTACTTGCTCAGAAGAGCAACGTTGGGGAGCGGCTCAAAAGACCAGCCCGCGCGCAGGTCCTAAGCGGGCGACTGAGCTCAGCGCCTCTCTCTCTCCTTCAGGCCCAGGATGAAGTCCTGCAAGCCCAGCAACCCAGCGGCGGCAGCGCGCGCCGCGCCCGCGTGCGCAGGCGGCGCCGAGTGCGCGGGTACGTGCGCCGGAGCCGGGAGGCTGGAGAGCGCGGCGCGCAGGCGCCTGGCGGCCAACGCGCGCGAGCGCCGACGAATGCAGGGACTCAACACCGCCTTCGACCGCCTGCGCAGGGTGGTGCCCCAGTGGGGCCAGGATAAAAAGCTGTCCAAGTATGAGACCCTGCAGATGGCGCTGAGCTACATCATGGCGCTGACCCGCATCCTGGCCGAGGCCGAGCGATTCGGCTCGGAGCCGGACTGGGTCAGTCTCCACTGTGAGCACTTTGGCCGCGATCACTACCTTCAATTCGCGGGCGCGAAGCTGCCGGGTGAGAGCGAGCCCTACGGCCAGAGGCTCTTTGGCTTCCAGCCGGAGCCCTTCCAGATGGCCAGCTAGGGCGCGCGGCCCTGCCAGGGTGAGACGCCCAGCGACTGAGCACCCGAGCTACCGGAGCCGTAGCTCTTTCCCCAGTAGGTGGCTTGGGATGCGTTCTTAGAATAAAATTGCAAACTTTCAGATTATTTTTATTCGCATCACCAGTCTTATGGACACGATTTTATTGCCTTTCTCTTTTCCTCCTTATCAGTATTTCGTAGGTTTCATTAATGGATCTTGTGAATGGTTTTGATTGCTGTGAAAATAATGCCCTCTTCCCTTTTTTTGGACTACTTTGAGGGAAAACAGTCTTAAGAAAAAATAGGATTAGGCTATACTGCAGTTTTAGTCCTCAGAGAAATAATCACTTTCTTAAACTTTGTAAGTTTGACCTGTTCGGGTGAAGTGATAATATCCATTACTTGTGTATACTTAAAACAGCTACCTTCCCGTCGTGTAAATGCATTTATGCTTAGTGCATTGTGTGTGTATGCATGAAGTAGTCATACTTTTTTTTTTTTGGTAGAGTACATGGGCGTGAGTGCTCTGTATTTTTTAAATGTATACATTATTAAAATATAGACTTTTGTAATATATAAATAAAAATGTGGTTGTTTTTCATGCCAAGTGCCCTGCTAGTTTCCGGATGGCAATAAATGCCTGTATGGGGCTGATCATATTGAGTGCTTCCCCGAGTAAAGATGTAGAATGTTTAAATCTAATTGCACCAATTGGCAAATGTTCCCTTTTGTAATACTTCGTTAAAAAAAGACAAGTCGGTGAGATAATTTGAAAGCTTTCTCTGTGAACTTGGAAATATAGATGTATTTTTCATGGTTTTTTTTGGAACTAATGGCAGGCTCTGGGCATCTTCCTCACTATTTGGGCACAATAGTTTACTTATTTAGACTCAAAAAAGCTTCATTAATAACTCCAGTAAACTTGTAGAGTTTGAGGATATATAAAATCAGTGCTAAAAAGTGTTTTAATCAGGAAAGATCTCAAAAATGTATTAAGATGGAGTCCTTTTTCAGGTAGAGTTCATATCCCACTCTCTAAATTGTAAATATCTTGTAAAAGAAAACTGGAGTTTTCATTTTTATCTCTTTTAGTATAGAAGTTTTAGACAGAATAAACTCTCAATAAATGTTTCTTTTTTTTTTTGGTTATTAACAATAGTAGTTTCTTGATGAAATTGAACAATTTAATTACAAAGATAGGATTCTAATCCCTTGCCTCTTCTTCCCCATCCCCATTCTCCAAAAAGAATGGGAGTCTGTCTGTTAAATATTTTGCCTATAGCTGGCTGTTCTGTGTTTTTTAAATCTCTGGAAACAATTTAGCTCTTAGAAAATCTCTAAGCTTTCCCCCACGCTCCCAACTTGATGTACTATTTTTTTCCTGGAAGACATGTGAGGGAGAAGTAAATGGGTCTCCGTGATCAAATCCGGTCTTTGGTAAAACTCTATGTTGGGAAATCCGTCATGGTTTATGAATTAGGAGCTTGGGTAGCAGAAGTGTAAAATCTTTTGAAGATTCATATATTATTATATATAATAGATTTTATATTACCAAGCCACCTAAGAGTTGCTACAGTATTCCATACTGTCCACCTTTGAAACATCTGTGTTCTTTCTAGTTTAACAACAAAGCATATCAAAATTCAAAAGTATTCTTTTACCTGGGCTCCCTTAAAACAACAACAACAACAAATATTATCAAGCACCTACTCATTCAGAATATAGCTGAATGCTTCAACAATGTGGTACCGATAACATATGCCATAATAACTCTTACGGGGGACATTAAATAATGAAATAAGACTCTCCTTAGCAGGTTTTCAGTTTGATTAGTTATTATTATCTAGGTTCTTCCTTGGTGTTAGCTGGAGGTTGAATCCCCAAACCCTGGGGTCAGAAGTCTTGAAGAACCATATACAAATGAACACGGCTATTAAGATGGGAAAGGCTGTCCAAACCAGTGGTTTTCAACTCTGTCTGCTCATTAGAATCACATGTAGGAGTCTTGGAAAAAAAAAACAAAAAAACAAAAAAAACCCAAGTCTGGGGTCCCCAGCTCAAGAATTGATTTAACTGCTCCAAGATAAGTCTTGGGCATAGATAGTTTAAAATTCTCCTCAAGTAATTCTAATGGGCTGTCAGTGTTAAGAACCACTTAATTAAACAGTATGTACTATGACACTATTAGCCTCATTACCAAAAACTGATGATATTGACTTCCAACTTTTTGTATTGTTTATACAAGGATAATCAATACTGGATCAGTTTATCTTTCTTAACATTGAATACAGCCAGTTTCATGGTTAATGAGATGGCCTTTATACTAATGAAGATATAAAATTTCTGTGAGATATGAACCAGATAGAATGTTTTTGGGTTGTGGTTAATAGAACTATAGGATTCAACAGTTAAGGCTCAGATACTTAAATTTTGCCATCTTATAGTAAAAACAAAGTGCTGTTTTTGGACTGAATTTGAGTAGCCTCTGTTCTTCTGCTTAGGCATTACTAAAAATACCTCTTTTTGCTACCTATAGGTGAAATAAATTTCAAGTGCATATAAAGCCATAAATATATGACCTATTTTCTCACATGGATATACACCCATTCCCCTCTGAATACAAATGGGTACAAACTTTAATAATTGTTTTATTGAAGTAACACAGGTCTTTTGGATTGTCTTTTTTAAATATATATATAGAGAGAGAGAACTTTACTTTCTCTCTCTCTCTTTTTTTTTTTTTTATTAGAGAAAAAGAAAGAGCGTGAAAAGGGGAGGGAGCAGAGGGAGAGAGAGAAAATCTTAAGCAGGCTTCATGCTCAGTGAGGAGCCTGACATGGGGCTCTATCCCTTGACCCTTGGATCATGACCTGAGCTGAAATCAAGAGTTGAACACTCCATTGACTGAGTCACCGAGGCACTTCTGGATTGCTATTTTAAACTGGCAGTGTGTCCAAAAAAATGCCTGAGCTGAAAGAAAACAACTGAGAGCAAGACTTTACCTATCTCACATAGAAAGTCTGGAATCAAATATAATACAAAACAAACCCAACAATTAGTTGAGAATAAATAAAATTTTATTAAATGAATAAAGAAACAATCCATCACATCCTCTAAATTGCTTTTTAAAACATCCAGGTTGAATTAAATACAGTTCTTAATTCTTGTTTTTCTTCTAATTGCAAAGTTTCCAAACAAAACACAACCCCCAACAAATCTTTAAGAAAGCAGAACTAGGAAACAGTAATAGTGTCATGGAGATGACATGGTCTACTGGAATATAGTACCATATACCTTCTGAAGAAAGACACAATTTATGCTCACAAACATTTTGACTTAAGCAATGACTTGTTTTCAGTTCCACAGAATATCTAACATGCACAATGCAGAAGAACAGGGATAAAAGCCAAGATCCATTAATTGCTTTTTATAATGGAAACAAAACATACAGTTTATGTAATTCACACATTTCAAAATGGCCACTATAATGCTTTTTCCATTAGGATTTCAATAACCAAAAAAGTACTTTAGAGAATAAGGTGACTCAAGCTTCCTAAGATAGAAGCATACCATGTTTGTAAGAGGAATCTTCTGATTCTGATTGAACTATGTTAGCCATGGGAACTCCATGCCTCATTGAAGTATGTGTGTGTGTGTGTGTGTACATGCCTATGGTCACATGTACATCCTTTGTCAGTCCTCATGGCTGAAATAAATCATTGGGATTAAATTCAGACTTGATGTAGCTGAGAATGCAAAATCAGAGGCCAAAGGCTATGCTCATTTTTGTGGGGCCATTTCTATCTGTTATCCTAATAAAGTTGATTCATTTCAATGTAAGGCCATTGACATGCTAGCATAGAACATTTTTTCACTGGGAACCAGAATAATACAGTGAAGTTGTCCTGAACTGCTTAAGCCAGAAAGCAATATAGGAACTACTTTGGTATTTCTTTGTGTGCTGCAAAGTTGTTATTTCCACTAGTTTCAATTGTGGACATAGGAGTCAGAGTTCCTGTAAGCTATTCTACCTATGCCAAAATAAATTTTCCTGGAATCTGCCTGCAGAAAGCAAATAGAATATGTCTTGAATTCATTTGAGTTTTCTCTAGATTCTTTTTTTTTTTAACTGCATACCATATTGGAAGAAGATTCCACCATTATGTGACACCCTTCTAAAGAAAAACAAAGTAGTTGGGCAGGAAAGAGATGTGAACTTTTTCAGCAAATTTATTTACTTTGGAGAAAAACATTTTAAACTTTCTCTTAAAATAAAAAACTGCTATTACTAGTGTAAATTCTTTATAAATATTTGTTTATCCAATCTTCCATCCTGGAAAAGGTTCAATCAAGTATTTTGCTTATTTTACAGATAAAGAAACAGACCTCACAGTGATAGAAAAGTTAGAGAGTATGTATTAAATTTATCAGAATTATTAAAATCTCTTTTGAATTCCTAGGAACTCACCTAAGAAGTCCTAGAAATAAGGAGCTCTCCTAATGTTATTATGTATTTTACAGAATTTTTTTTTTTGGTCTTGACTAAAAGGAAATGAAGGGAGAAGGGTAGGTTAAGAAACTCACTGCTAAAGCTCAGAAAAGTAAGTGAAAATTAGTCGGAAAAGAAGATAAGGTGTTCTGAAGTAAAAATACTGAGAAAGTAAAATTTAATTTACCCATGTGCTTTAAAAAATACAGTTGCATTAAAATGATTTCATTTGAATTTAAAACCCACCCATGGGTTTTAACTCTCCTTAAACACACTAAAACTTTTATACTCTGTACACGTACACATTTAGTAATCCTTTGGTAGCCAATACTAGCATATAATTCACTGAATCTTGCACTACTAGCAGGTAATTCACTGAATCTTGCCCTATTACTAATTGTGGGAAAGTTACAAGAATCTGCTAGTTTGCAGATAACTCACTGAATCTGTAGAAACATCAAGTTCTTTGGAATTTTGGAACATTGAACAATTCACTCTTGCCATACTATATGAAAAGAACTCATGTTTCTTATGGATATTAAAATACATCTTTTTAAAGTGATCTTTACACCCAACATGGGGCCTGAACTCACAACCCCGACAT